TTTGTCCTTTAGGAGGAACAAAATTCCTTCCTGACTCCACGAGGCAATCAGATTTAATTCTCTGCGATACAAAATGCTTCCCTGAGGCCCCATTCACACGGGCCTAATGGCTGACAACTGTAAGCTTCTCTTCTCACAGTGTGCCTTAGAAGCTGCTGGACATCAGATAGAGCCCACCTGATTTCTTAGCTGGAGGACATCCAGCATCATCTACCTTTTTCCCTCAAAGCCTATCTGCCCCTCCCATTCATTGGATTTCAGTTCTTATAGTCATGGAGGCTTATCATCACAGGTTCTATTTCAAAATTTCACACACACACCCCCCTTCAGTCTATCGTGAATGCAGCTGCCAGATTCATCCACCTAACCAACCGCTCAGTGTCTGCATTACTCGCCTCCAGGACTTCTCTAGAGTCTCTCCCATCCTCTGGAACTCTTTACCCCAACCTGTCCGTCTATCTCCTACCTTTACCAGGACCCTCCCTAAAGACTCATCTCTTCAAGGTAGCCTATCCCACCTCGACCTAACCACTGAACCATCAAATTCTCAAATAATTCATCCCCACACAGCTACCTCCTCCTGTATCATTTCCCCCTCCTCTTTTAGATTGTAAGCCCTCAGGGGCAGGGCCCTCCTTACCATCTTGTCTTAAATTGTATTGTAATGTCTTCCTTATATTGTAAAGCGCTGCGCAAACTGTTGGCGCTATATAAATACTATGTAATAATAATATATATATACTGTACATACCATGTTTTTTATACCACTTCTGATAGTATTACACACAAAATATTTGATTTTATTGGCTCAGTATTTATTACTCTTTGGAACCCTCATATAACACATGCATTGGAATCACTTTGTGTGTTCAGCTCCGGATTTTTTTTCCATTTGTTAAGTAAAACACACATGATGAAGGAGCAGTAATCGAAATGCTCAAAAAGCCAGTCTGCATGCTGGGCGGCGGAGAGCAAGTTGTACTCCTGACAACCCAGTGGGGAAACAGGTTAGGGGCGCCACCCTGGGTCCAAAATCTGATTGTGACTGCACCTCTGTTTACATGGAGTTTATATGTCTTTCTTGTATTTGTGTGGATTTCCACCAGCTACTCTGCTAAAAATATACCAGCTACAAGCTAAAAATATATCGGTGGGTTAATTGGTTTCTGCTTAAATTAGATGTGCGCAGCTTGTATGACTGTGGTAGGGATAGTTGCCAACATGTCCCTAAAGTGTCACTCCAAACACAAGTACTATTTCTGTTAGTGGTATAACCTACATTGCACAGTAATACGTTGTATATGTGCGATATGGCGCGTTTCCAATTATTCACAATTGCACCCCAATGCACATATACAGTAATAACAAACAAACCTGCACTATGACGTACCACAACTGTGAAGGTTCTGTGCGTTGTGATGCACTTTGTAACCAAATACAGTGCAGGTTTATTTGTGGTCTCTTCCTCACCTATATCCCACCCCTCTTGCCACTCTCCATTCAGCTTCCCCAACAAACTCTTTAGCCTCTTACAACGCCTCTTTCCACCCCAACATCCATAAGAATAATCATGTGACCTGAACTGATCCCCATGTTTCATGACACACTCCAGAAACCACACTGACTTATTAATATTATACTATATATAATTGTTTAGATGAAGACGTTCTTGTTCTCCATACATGTCAAATGATATGTTACGATAATGTAAGCTATCTATGTGTTATAATACCATTTATTGCAAACAACACTTATATTGGACCTTCTGGTCAGTATACTGGTCAATCTACACTTATATTGGGCCTTCTGGTCAGTATACTGGTCAATCTACACTTATATTGGGCCTTCTGGTCATTATACTGGTCATTCTACCCTTTTGCTGGATCTTTTGGTCAGTATACTGATATACTGGTTAATCTGCACTTATATTGGCCCTTTTGGTCAGTATAGTGGTATACTGGTCATTCTACAATTATATTGGATATGCTGTTCAATGTACACTTATATTGAACAAGAAATTGTGCTGGTGCTCTATTTCGTGCATTAAGGGCCATTCAAAGTACTGCCTCAACATATATGTGTTACTGCACACAAAGGTGAGACGAGACTCTTATAGGTGGAGCCAGAGGCGTAACTAGAACCTACAGGGCCCCGGTGCAATAAACTATGAAGGGTCCCCCCTACCCCCCGCCGCCATGGCACTATGTGGTTAACAGGAAGGCTGCCTAGGTCCCCAGCAAGTGCGGGACCTCAGGCAGCCGCTTCAGTTAAAAAATTTAGTGCCGGTGTTCTGTCGAGAACACCAACCCAGTATCTGCACAGACGGGATTAACGAGGAAACCGGCATTTATTTACAAAGTATTCATTTGTAATGGTTAATTGTGACTGGTAATAATATGCCATCTATGATGATGGATGGCAGTAAATGTTGGATGGAATATTATGAACGGTCACAATTAATGATTTCAACTAAATACTTTGTGAATAAATCCCGGTTTCCTCGATTATACAGGTCTGTGCGCTTGCGCAGATGCTGAGGTCGGCAAATTCGACTACGTTGGCGTTCTCGACAGAACACCGGTATCTGCGTTTAGTATCAGGGCATTTTGAATACTCATGAAAATGCCCAATATTGGCACTGGAGCATACCTAGTTAACATATAATGCATTGCTGGGACTTGTAGTCCCGCATAGTTGGTGGTATTCTGCATTGCTGTATAATGGTTATACAGGTGAAACTCCAATAATTAGAATATCGTGCAAAGTTCATTTATTTCACTAATGCAACTTAAAAGGTGAAACTAATATATGAGAGAGACTCATTACATGCAAAGCAAGATAATTCAAGCCGTGATTTGTCATAATTGTGATGATTATGGCTTACAGCTCATGAAAACCCCAAGAACTCCAAATCCACAACCTCAAAAAAGTAGATTATTACATGCAATCAATAAAACAAGGATTGTACATAGAACAATATCGGACCTCTGAAAAGTACAAGCATGCATATGTACTCAGTACTTGGTTTGGGCCCCTTTTGCAGCACTTACTGCAATTACTTTTGCACGATATTCTAATTATTCGAGTTTCACCTGTACAGCAATGCAGAATACCACCAGCTATGCAGGACTACAAGTCCCAGCAATACCTTATAATAAAAATCAGCAATGTAGAAATATCAGTGGGAGGGGGTCGTACACAGACAGTGAAGAAGATGCAACGTTGATGTAATAGTCATAACAGGACTCACATTCCAGATGGAGAAAAGGCAGAAAATCACGAAGGCCAGAGCGGGTTTCTGTACCGGGAGAATCCCGCAGCTGTCACGGAGAGAGGGGAGCTAGGAGGGGCGCCGCTGGTTGTCCTGGTAACAGGACGCTATACCTCTCCAGCGTCTGTCTTCTCTGCACAGCGCCAGTTCGTCCCACCCCCTAGCGCATGTGTCGTGTGGGCATAGGGATCCTAAGGCTTCTCACTGGCCTGATGTGATTACAGCAGGGCTCCCGAACATCGGCGCACACGTGCCACCAAGTTGGTCTCTAAGCAACCGCCCACGAACGCTGCGGGCAGCTTGAGGGATCTGCGGGCTCTCTTCTTTCTCTCTGGCCCCCCCCCCCCAACTGGCGGAATGCCAGGGCCCGGTCTGGATTGCGACTGCAGCGACCCTGGTAGTTCCGCCAGTGAGCCTGGTATAAGTCAAGGACTGGATTCTAAGATCTCTTGGGCCTCCACCAATGAGATCTCTTTGTGTAATTTCTGGTTCTCTTCCCACCCACCTTAAAACTTTGGTATTCCTGTCCACCTCGGGTGGACAGGAATACCCTAAACACCTAAACCACTGTCACAAGACAGGATTGATCTTTGGGCACATGGTGTGTATGCAAAATTCTGGAACTATGAGCTAAATCAAAAATGATATATAATGTCTCATCTGAAGAATTTGGCATCCACACCATGCACCCAAAGATCAATCCTGTCTTGTGCCAGTGGTTTAGGGTGGTGGTGTACTGGTGGTGATATGGAGTCAATATGGACCAAAATTCAGCATGCTGGCCCATACTACATATGTGTACCTAATAATGTGGTCAGTGAGTTAGGTTCCTCAATTTGTCTTTGTAGGCACATAATGACAACTTTTGTTTGAACGCAATCCTAACACAAGTTAGGCTGGCCATGCATGACTTGAATTTTGGCCGATTCCAATAAATTAGAGCCATGGGTGGACATGTTGGCCCCATCGAGCTCGGCAAGCTTTGATTTGGAAAATTAATAAAAGACAGGTGGAAAATTGCCGGGCTAAGAGTGACTGCAACCAATCAGCTAGCGTTACCATTTGGTAGCCATGCTTCCAAGGCTGCTTAAAGGCGAAGTCCACTTTCATTTAAAGGGGGAGCCAGTAAAGGGGATCGGAGCCAGTAAATCATTGCAGCCGCAATCAGCAACTGCACAATTTTTTTGTGATGTTACCATGTTTTCTGATAAACCTTGAATATGGGTGTAACATGAAGCATGGTCCAAAAGGTAAATGTAGCCTTTAAATACAATAGCCGGCAGCGGGAGATTCCGGCATCCATGCTATTAAGCGTGGACGGGGGAATCAAGCGGTCTTCTAAGAAAACTAAACGTTTATTACCAGCTTAAATGTCTTTAAGGATGCATCACGTCCTCTATCAGTCAGTTACTGTCATAGAAGACAAGTCAGTAGGGCACATACCATTAGGCACGTTCCGGTCTGTGTTGCAGCAAGTTTGCATGGTCGTGGCACCTTCCCTGTCACCAAAGCCTGCAGCTTTTGTAGCTGCTGTAGCAGAGACCTAAGGAAATGAATGAAATTGATAAATGTAACAGTGACACCATTCCGAGGGAGACTTCACTGAGTCCTGTGTGATCTACAGCATTCATTAGATGTTATGGATCAGTTGCGCTCTCACACTTTACTATGAATGAAACAGTTGCTGCAACTCACAGGATGAACACTAGGTGGTGATAAAATCTCACTTTAGAGCATGGCCCATTTGCATGATAAAGATTTCGACTGCATTGTTCCATTTTTATTCCAGTAGTAGCTGAATGCGTGTTTGACAGTATTTAAAAACAGCTGCCGGGTACACTTTACTGCCCAGCTGACCTATTTAAGCCTACGTGCAATGCAAGGGTCATAGAGGGCTATATTCCCAGTTATAATTCACAGTTATCATTATTATATGAATATTAAATTATTATAACCTTGCTCTATACTGATACACAAAAGAACATTTTTTCGTGATATCAGCCTCCTGTAATTTTCTGCAAAGCGGCATTCACAGAGAGGGAATGCCATGAGTATAAGCCAGTTAGGGCTTTCACATACAGAAAGGAGGGGAGAGCAAAGGGATGATCTCACCATTGTACTGCTAGCCTGCTGCTCACTGAGAGTCTAATCAGAGCCTGGAGTGGGGATATTACCATGCTTAGTAATTATAACTTTTGATATTATTATGTAAGAACATCTTTCAAAGCTTTTTCGGTTATTGTTTTTGCCATTTCTATTTTCAGTGATAAGGCATTCTATGTAAATTAAATTTGATTCACATATGTGAATTAGTTATATCTGCCAAAGGATTAGTATCTCTGTTCAGCCAGTCTATTGGTACAGACACTTCTGCCAGACAGAACAGTCAAGTCCTGAGCCTCTCTGCAGACTGCAATTAAGCAATACAATTGGATCCAGGAATTGCATTAGCCTGTAACTCGACAATGAAGCACAGTACACTGATGAGGTCATCTCTCTGTGCTCTCCCCTCCTGTAAGCTTGTGCACTGTGCAATAATGACAACAAGAACCCTGACTGGATCAGAAGGATACCAATACAAGTCTGAATGCTGCTCTGAAATTACAGGAGGCTAATGTCCAAATACCTATGCTAGTTCTATGTAAAACACCTTTAATGCCTTGTAATGAATATCTGGCCAGATTAGATGTTTCTGCAGATCATCAGGGCTATTCTGTAGAGACCAAAAACTAATGTGATTCATAAATTGGTGGGTACTATGACACGGAAATGGTCTTTGGGACTTTTCACAACAAGTGATGCCAGTGCAGTTGGGGATGACAAGGAGAGCACGGCTGGAGGGAATGTGTGAATGGGGTGATTCAAGGACATAAGTAGCAGCTTTGCTTACAGACAAAGGATATTGTAGGTACAATATGGGTACCTGATAAATAAAAACTAACTAGTTTGTGTCAAGACGAAAGAAAAGTATTAGGAAATAATGATGGGTGCTGAACAGGGTCCTAGATGTTTCATGAACAAGGGCCCTATGCAGTGTCGGTCATTGACATGTGGCACATGAAAGCACCTCACCTGTTGGCATTTTCCAAGCTCTCCACCTTTTTCCACAACTCACTGTTCTGTGATGTGAAGGATTCTACCCTGCAAAGACAAATAGAAAGATATACTAACTGGGACCTAGAACAATAATACATTGTGACTCAGGCTTAAAGGGACAATCCACTCAAGACTGATTTTCAGATTTATGTGGTTTCTGGAAAGCTGAATCACATGCTGGATACTTATATCTGTTCTAAAGTCCAGTGATGAGCTATCCCTGCCAGAATTCCCAGTCTGACCTAAGTACCACAGTCATTATAAAGACATGATGGAGTCATGCTCTTCTGCTGGAATAAAATAATTGGGAATTCCAGCTGTTAGAGTGTGACCACTTTATTATGGATCTTTGGGAAGGACAGAGGCACAATGCATAGAAGGGAATGCTCGGCATTGGAGTCTCAGATATAAGAACCCAAAGTTTAATATAAGGGGATGAGATAGAATACACAATAGACACAATCACAATCTAGCAACACAGCAAAAATAACAATGACAAAGTAATAATAATGTGATAAGGATAAAACTAATGGTCAACATAACACAATAAGAAAACAAAGAAATGTCAGAGAAAGAAAGACTGAAAGAAGCGATGTACACACATTTCATAACTCACTTCTTTTCCAGGCACTCCACGTATTCTTTCTTCTTCCTCCGGCTTTCCTGGGCTGAGATCTAAGGAGCGGACACAAAAAGGACAAGGAGTCACATCTGATGCCATTGCTGGAAGCTCCCATCTTGACATGCTTTTCTGTATGTCAAGATGGGGCCATCTACACATGAGACCAAGAATCATACCTGATGCCATTCTTGGAAGCTCCCATCTACACATCCTTCCCTGTAATCTTCCATCTACACATCCTTCCCTGTAATCTTCCATCTACACATTCATTCCAATAACCTCCCATCTACACATCCATTCCAATAACCTCCCATCTACACATACATTCCAATAACCTCCCATCTACACATCCCTTCCAATAACCTCTCATCCTCACATCCATTCCAATAACCTCCCATCTACACATACATTCCAATAACCTCCCATCTACACATCCCTTCCAATAACCTCTCATCCTCACATCCATTCCAATAACCTCCCATCTACACATACATTCCAATAACCTCCCATCTACACATCCCTTCCAATAACCTCTCATCCTCACATCCATTCCAATAACCTCCCATCTACACATACATTCCAATAACCTCCCATCTACACATCCCTTCCAATAACCTCTCATCCTCACATCCATTCCAATAACCTCCCATCTACACATACATTCCAATAACCTCCCATCTACACATCCCTTCCAATAACCTCTCATCCTCACATCCATTCCAATAACCTCCCATCTACACATACATTCCAATAACCTCCCATCTACACATCCCTTCCAATAACCTCTCATCCTCACATCCATTCCAATAACCTCCCATCTACACATTCATTCCAATAGCCTCTCATCTACACATCATTTACAATAACCTCCCATCTACACATCCATTAATGTAACCTCCCATCTACACATCCCTTCCAATAACCTCCCATCTACACATCCATTAATGTAACCTCCCATCTACACATACATTCCAATAACCTCCCATCTACATATCCTTTAATGTAACCTCCCATCTACACATCCCTTCCAATAACCTCCCATCTACACATCCCTTCCAATAACCTCCCATCTACACATCCATTAATGTAACCTCCCATCTACACATCCTTCCCTGTAATCTTCCATCTACACATCCATTCCAATAACCTCTCATCTACACATTCATTCCAATAACCTCTCATCTACACATCATTTACAATAACCTCCCATCTACACATCCATTAATGTAACCTCCCATCTACACATCCCTTCCAATAACCTCCCATCTACACATCCATTCCAATAACCTCCCATCTACACATACATTCCAATAACCTCCCATCTACACATCCCTTCCAATAACCTCTCATCCTCACATCCATTCCAATAACCTCCCATCTACACATTCATTCCAATAGCCTCTCATCTACACATCATTTACAATAACCTCCCATCTCACATCCATTCCAATAACCTCTCATCTACACATTCATTCCAATAACCTCTCATCTACACATTCATTCCAATAACCTCCCATCTACACATCCCTTCCAATAACCTCCCATCTACACATAATTTACAATAACCTCCCATCTACACATACTTTCCAATACCCTCCCTATCCCTTCCAATAACCTCTCATCTACACATCCATTCCAATAACCTCCCATCTACACATCCCTTCCAATAACCTCCCATCTACACATCCATTCCAATAACCTCCCATCTACACATACATTCCAATAACCTCCCATCTACACATCCCTTCCAATAACCTCTCATCCTCACATCCATTCCAATAACCTCCCATCTACACATTCATTCCAATAGCCTCTCATCTACACATCATTTACAATAACCTCCCATCTCACATCCATTCCAATAACCTCTCATCTACACATTCATTCCAATAACCTCTCATCTACACATTCATTCCAATAACCTCTCATCTACACATCATTTACAATAACCTCCCATCTACACATCCATTAATGTAACCTCCCATCTACACATCCCTTCCAATAACCTCCCATCTACACATCCATTAATGTAACCTCCCATCTACACATACATTCCAATAACCTCCCATCTACATATCCTTTAATGTAACCTCCCATCTACACATCCCTTCCAATAACCTCCCATCTACACATCCATTAATGTAACCTCCTATCTACACATCCTTCCCTGTAATCTTCCATCTACACATCCATTCCAATAACCTCTCATCTACACATTCATTCCAATAACCTCTCATCTACACATCATTTACAATAACCTCCCATCTACACATCCATTAATGTAACCTCCCATCTACACATCCCTTCCAATAACCTCCCATCTACACATCCATTAATGTAACCTCCCATCTACACATACATTCCAATAACCTCCCATCTACATATCCTTTAATGTAACCTCCCATCTACACATCCCTTCCAATAACCTCCCATCTACACATCCCTTCCAATAACCTCCCATCTACACATCCATTAATGTAACCTCCCATCTACACATCCTTCCCTGTAATCTTCCATCTACACATCCATTCCAATAACCTCTCATCTACACATTCATTCCAATAACCTCTCATCTACACATCATTTACAATAACCTCCCATCTACACATCCATTAATGTAACCTCCCATCTACACATCCCTTCCAATAACCTCCCATCTACACATCCATTAATGTAACCTCCCATCTACACATACATTCCAATAACCTCCCATCTACATATCCTTTAATGTAACCTCCCATCTACACATCCCTTCCAATAACCTCCCATCTACACATCCCTTCCAATAACCTCCCATCTACACATCCATTAATGTAACCTCCTATCTACACATCCTTCCCTGTAATCTTCCATCTACACATCCATTCCAATAACCTCTCATCTACACATTCATTCCAATAACCTCTCATCTACACATCATTTACAATAACCTCCCATCTACACATCCATTAATGTAACCTCCCATCTACACATCCCTTCCAATAACCTCCCATCTACACATCCATTAATGTAACCTCCCATCTACACATACATTCCAATAACCTCCCATCTACATATCCTTTAATGTAACCTCCCATCTACACATCCCTTCCAATAACCTCCCATCTACACATCCCTTCCAATAACCTCCCATCTACACATCCATTAATGTAACCTCCCATCTACACATCCTTCCCTGTAATCTTCCATCTACACATCCATTCCAATAACCTCTCATCTACACATTCATTCCAATAACCTCTCATCTACACATCATTTACAATAACCTCCCATCTACACATCCATTAATGTAACCTCCCATCTACACATCCCTTCCAATAACCTCCCATCTACACATCCATTAATGTAACCTCCCATCTACACATACATTCCAATAACCTCCCATCTACATATCCTTTAATGTAACCTCCCATCTACACATCCCTTCCAATAACCTCCCATCTACACATCCCTTCCAATAACCTCCCATCTACACATCCATTAATGTAACCTCCTATCTACACATCCTTCCCTGTAATCTTCCATCTACACATCCATTCCAATAACCTCTCATCTACACATTCATTCCAATAACCTCTCATCTACACATCATTTACAATAACCTCCCATCTACACATCCATTAATGTAACCTCCCATCTACACATCCCTTCCAATAACCTCCCATCTAAACATCCATTCCAATAACCTCCCATCTACATATCCATTCCAATAACCACCTGTCTATACATCCATGCCTGTAAACTACCATCTATACATCCTTGCCTGTAAGCTCCCACCTACACATACTTTCCTGTAGCCTCCCATCTACACATACTTTCCTGTAGCCTCCCATCTACACATCATTTCCTGTTCCTACGTTTAAACTACAGCCCTGGGAGATTGTTGTGTCCTAAAGCTGGTTATAGACATGGGATGATTGTCCCCTGATCCAGCCAATGACATGACAATGCCCAAATTCATAACTACTGCTGTAGTTACATGACATGACATGACATGACAATGCCCATTGGCTGGATCAGGGGACAATTGCTCTTGGTGATTGCGATTTAAAGAAAAAGAACGGAAGTGGGTTGAGATGACAAACAGCTGATAAGCTATAGCTCAATGTTGGACTAGAGCCTCCTGCAAAGCATAGATTGAGTACCTGTGTGCTATGCAGAGCTTTGACCTC